GAGCTTATAGCAAAGTGCCCTGTGCTGTAAATGGCGGTCATGCCTTTTGTTCTCCCTTATGTTTGTTGTTATAATTGGAAGCTAATTATATTATTTCTCTCAATGCTGACATACTTAATAAAGATGCAAATTAATTAAAATTCTCTCCTCATTCCATTAGCAAAGAAAAAAGTAAGCATCAAGCAGAAGCAAGGCTGCAGCGTCTCGGTTCTTTTCATAGTGGCACCCCTGGCTAGCAGCAGAACAAGGGACATGTCATTTAGCCTCGCTGGCTCTTTGTTCCCTGTCTGTAATGTGCAGGACAGCCTGCGGTCTGCCTCATAACAAACATCTACCTTACAAGCTGCAGAGCACTACTGGGGACCCGTATTAGCTTTAACCAAGCCAGTCTAGCATGAGCAATAAGCAAGCCAGATACGTCTATGTGGAGCTCAAGCTGCTAGGCTGCTCGGTGTGCCCGACGGATGACTTCTTTACATCCAACAGAGCATCTCTCTATACCACCACAGTCATCAGCAGGTGTAGTGAATGGCTACAGTGCAACTTGGACAGCCACAGATTCTCAAGTGACCCAAACAGGAGGCAGAACCGGCTGGGAAGGAAGAGGACTTTTAGTGAGGCGCTAGTGTTACATTGGGAAGAAGCTGGGAATAAGCAACAGATTGGTGTCGTGTTCAGAGGGTTGACCTGCGTGTCACTTAAGTGCGGCAAAGAATTTCCCCTTGAGGCATGGTATCTTGGAAATATGGCAAAAGATGATACTTCTGGTGTAGATGGACTTATCTTAAGCAATTAATTTTCTGTGACTGCAGGTATTGTTTGATATACCCTTCCCATTTCCTATATCTAGGTTTCTGTGTAGTAATTTCCCCCCCCCCTCCCCCCCCGTTTACTTTTAGGAAATTACAAATTTTCCTCAGTGGTTCATGCTATTATAAAACATGATGCAAAATGTCAGTGGCAGTTCTGGGACCGCATCTTGTATATAAAAGGGGAAAAAATTAGTTTGGGAGTCAGGCAGGTACAACTTGCAAAAAGAATTCAGCAGCAGCAAGTCCTGGCAGAAGTCTGAGGTCTGCTCCGCCACTGTGGATTACACAGTTGGGCCCCACATTGGAGAACTTCTGCTGAATGGTAATCTCAAATACTTCAAGCACACCCTTAATTTTAAGCATCAAGTCAACAGAATTAAACCACAGGACTGGATTGGAAAGCTTCACCCAGGGACTGTAGAATGTCTGGCAGTGGAACAAGCTGTACTGCAATCTCACTATTTATGGGTGGCTGCTCTTAAGTGTTCAAAACATTGCAGTGCTGCAGAGTAAAAATAATGCCGATGGCTCCGTGTGTAATTAAAGCTTTAGTAAGTCATTTCACCTTCATGCAGCGCCCCCCTGCCCCCCCCATGTAATTTAAGATTTTGCTGTGTATTTTTAGCCTTGGAAGCCTGTGAAAGTTTGCATTCAAGTCTTGAAGTTCGTGTTAAAAAAACTCTGCATTTTCAGAAGAGTTAACTTTTTCTAAAGCATTAAATATGAGAAAAATCTCATTTTTGATGCAAAGGCAATGCTATCTTACTTTTGCGTGTAGGCTGTCTTCTGTACATGCAACATAATCACTGTCAAGTCTGTTCTGACCACATGACACAAACCTGCTAATAACAAACAGATGCAGAGCAGTAGCTCAGTGCTGGAGCTACAGCGATGTACTGAAGTAGTTGTAATCAGTCATGGGCATATAATACTTTGGGACACATTGGACATTTTTCATGTATGTAGGAAAACCAGAACTAATCCTATATACAGCCTGCCTTCTGCAGACTTGGGAGTTGGAACAAATCCTGTGGAAACAAGAATTGCAAGCACCAGCTCTCACTTGTCAAGCGACTGTATATTTTTGTCCGTAGCAAGGCCAAAAGGACCGGACAGAGCCAGAATTCACTTTGAACGTCCTTCCGATATGGAAGGGGAAAATAAAAACAACTTGCTGGTAGAAGCTAAACAAAGCATTTTTAATAGCAGGCCGTGGAGGAAAATTCATGAGCTACTCTCCATGGCAACATCTAGGTTCTGTCACGTTTGCTGCCTCCACTCTCTCCTCCCTCCCTTTCTCTTCTCCCTCTCCGACCCTTTGGTTCCCGCTGTTCTTGCCCGGGTCCTGCCCGCACTGCTGTCCATGAGACCTGGCATTTGCAGGTGATTGCTTTGCCACCAGGTTTCTGCACATCATTGATGTTCCCCCCTTGCAGCAGTGCTTGTTACGCCTGGCCTGTGCATGTGGGATTCAGATTTTTTTATTCCAAGATGTGCTGCCTGGGACCAAGCAAGCCTCCTGTTTTCTAAGCTGTCCACTGCTCCTGCTCTTCTTTCCCCTCAAGTCGTTAAATCCACCTATCCGCCCCAGCCCCCTTGCACTGTATTTGGCAGGGGTAGGTTTTAGTCTGTATGGATACTGGAAAGGGGAAGAAAGCTTGCCAATGTCTGTTTAATTAAAATTTAGCCTAAAAACCAAGCTTTTAAGATGTTGGTCTAAAAGACCATTATTTCTAGAAGAAAACCGGGTAATTGCACTGAGTCCTGGCTTATTTCCATGGCTGAAATGAACTACAAGGGGAAGGTTGTAGGGGATGCCACTAACAGTCAGGTTGCATGTTCTCTTGGGTAGGACACCTAAACCTTGCTGATGCTGCAGCATTGTGTTGCAGTCTTGCCATCTCTACGTTCTTTATATTTTAAGAGAAACAAGTCCAGCACCCACTAACAGGTGAAGAATTGCTGTGTAAATGACAGCTTCTGTACCCTGGACTAAGCACTGGCCCCAACCCATAGCAGCAGCATGAATTCTTCAGCACTCCCAAGCTGCTCGGTGTGAGAAGGCCACAGACGCTTCAGCTGGATGCTCTGCTCCAGGAGTGCAGCTGTAGTTGTGTGCACCTGTTTTCAGAGGGGGCTGAATGGCAAGTGGGTTGGTGTCTTCTGTTGCTTGCTTTGAGTGTGTCTGAGGAAACTGGGTGAGAATATGCCTCCTGACAAAGGAGCACATCTGGCCATGGAGCAAGGGTCAGGCATTTGAGAATGGTTAGCTTCCTCAGGACGACACCCTCCAGCCTCTGCACCTCTGCTTTTGCTGCAAACCAGAGCGATTCGCTGCATGCCCCCTGCCCGCAATCACAGCTCTCTGAGGAGGCCAGGGGAAGAAGAGGCATGGTGGAGACCCTGACAGGAGCGCTGCACTTGCAAACTGCCAAGAGCTGTGGTAGTTCACACACAGGTACAGCAAGTGCTTTTCTGGACCAGCCTTTTCTGTTCAGAGAGCTGCACTAAGCTTGGAAAGAAAGCACTCATCTCAGAGGGTTTAGGTGATACATCTGTGCTGGCAGGTTCTCGCTGATGCAGCCTAAGCCCTACTGAGTTCCAGCGAGGTGGAAACTGGTGACACTGGTGAGGACTTGCACTGGCCAGAATGCTTCCAGGGGGTTTCACCTTGTGTCTGTTTTCTCAAGCAAAGACACAAACAATTCTCTGCTTTAGGAAACTTCAGCAGATAGTCAGCTTGAGTATTAATGCTTAGCAATTTCATTTTGTTGTGTAGCCCAGCTCTACCCACGTAAGCGGAGGGGAAAGGTTTTCGGCATCAGCAGATGCTGCTATAGCCC